AAGTGTTTCATCTTGTTTAATTCATGTGAATGATTATTTGAGGTGAATTGCTTGATTTTGTTGAATTCATGTTAAGTAGCTAATTCTGATTGCTAGGGATAGGGGATGATTGTTCTTGTTTGGATTGTATTTTGTCGGGCTTGAATTGTTCGTTCTTATGCGAGTTGATTTAATTCACAATTGATGAAATTGAGTTTGATAGCTTGATATAATCGAAGGGTGACACTTCGATCTCGTAATTGGTGACAATTGGATATTGAGTTGTCGAGTTTGGTTATGTTGATTCTATATGGCTAGTTGATTAATCACCTTCTAGTTAAACTAGTGTGATACCCGTGCGATGCACGGGGTATACTGTAAATTAATATTTTATTAAAATGAATATTGTTAATCTATTTAAGACAACATGGTAATTATATACGACTCAATATATCAAGCCAGTAATTTTATAAATTTTGTTTGAATATCTTTTTTAGGTTATTTTTACAGGTTTTGCCTATTTAATTATAAATCTTATTATTTATAAGTTTATAAAATAGTATCAATATCTAGATTTTAACTATGATGTTTGTATACAGATTGCTTACATATACTTGTAAAATTACTGATTATCTTGATCTTATAACGTTTTCAACAAATCATATTTTGCATTTTGCTCGATGGCTAACTAATGTTTTAACCCGTAAAATTTAATTTCCTTTATGATAATTTTAGATGCACGAAATATTAATTTTTTCATAATTAAATTTAAATTGTAGCAACTTTAATCGCTTATGCAATAAATTTTTTAAATAGTAAACTATTTATTTTTATTTTTAAATTTTTTGTTTATATATATATAATGAATTTATTCAACATATATAATGAATGTATTAATATTCAATTTAAATGTTTAGATAAAATATATATTTCAATTATTATCAAATTTTACTGTTTTAATTATGATATTTGACTATATCATCCAATATACTCATTTTTCTTTATTAAATAGTATATGATAAGTAATATACTTTTTTACAATTTAATCGTTTTATTATGTAGATAGATATTTCTAATGTAAAACTTATAATTTTTAATTTCACTCGACCATAAAATAATAATTTTATTAATATATTAAATTTAGTTTTCAATGGAATATCAAATAAAATAATATATTTAATGGAGATATAATTTATGATGGTTATGTTGACTATATTTTAGCAAATTTCTTTTACTATTGTAAATTATTCATTAAGTTAATATGATTCAAACAAAATTATTGATTATTTGTTAGATATTTTAAGTGCTTCTGAACTGTTAACATAATTAATAAAATTAATATCTACAACAATGAGAAGATAATATAATTAATCAAATAAATAGTTCATAATTTGAATGGTTTTTTAAATTTTGTCAAAAAATTACTACAAAATTAATATTAAGATCATATTGAAAATATGTGTAATCAATCAATTATCTATTTAAGTCAATTTATAACTAATGAATATTAGTCAATGAATAAACAAAAAATAATTAATGTTCATATGTAAAATTGCTAATAGATAGGCTAATTATATGCTAAATATAGATGAAAATATTTTCCCGCCTAAAACAATATCAATTATAGTAATAAGGATTGGTCCATTATATAGATATAGA